ATCAAAGATGGATAAGCCAAACCAGTCATTTAAAAACTTGTTTACATAGATCGGATATAAACAAGAACCTGTACTAAATACTAATAACTGAAGGTATAAGGAGGGATGCTTATGAAGAACCCCTTCCGTACTAAATTGAAAATTAGTCCCGTAAACTTGGACACTGGGGCATGGGAAACCAACGTCTGTTTACTGCTATGGTGATGCCGTTTTACACATTTTCCCTTGTTAAATGCCATGCCCCCATTGTGGCAAATAAGGGTCACACGGCATGAAATGCCCCAATATGGGCGTAACTACTGGTTGTCAAATTTGAGGAAAAATGTATACAAAAATACAAAATTACAAATGACCCGAGGCTGATAGGGTGAGTGCATCTCTCTGTGTCTCTTTTTTTTTTGGATAAAATCTATGTTTCTACATTCGTTATACACAATTTTATCCTTCTGTCTTTGCGTTGATACTTGAGGGGGCCGGATCCCATAAGGTCATGGAGTCCTGGTATGCTGAGGTTCAGAGAAATGGTATAGTCCTATTATTACCAGTTTAGGAAGAATGAAGCCAGCCAAAAAAATATACATATATTTACCTGGAAAGACAAGCCGGTACTGAACATTAGCACTAGTACGAACTCAAAGTATTGATCAATGGACCACAATGATTCAACAGCCCCTTCAGCATAGTTAACAAAGAAATTTAATGCTGCAGGTGTCAGAACTAGGTAGGAGAAGATAATTCCGGCATAGAAAAGAACTGATGAGCCCAAAACAATTGGCCCCAGAAACCTTCTCTCAGCTCTTGTTAGGCCTGGAAGCACAAAGGCTATGATTTCGTAGAGAATGACAGGACTTCCCAAGAGAAGGCCACAGTAACCAGACACCTGCAGTACCCCCAAAAAATGATTCCACGGTATCACTATTTAATGGAGTCTGAGAATAAGCATGCAGGACACAGACACAAATGTAATCATAGCACTTCTGCATCTTTTTGTTTTGGTAACCAAACAACATTTTTAAATCCTCCAAGATAGGTCATAACAGACTTTTCATTTGTAATTCATCATGACAGAAATGACAGGGAGTTATCTTCAACATGCATAGAAGATCATTAACAGGTTGCATATAGACAAACGAAGGCAGTTAGAGCTATGTTTTTACCAATGAAAATTTTCTCCTGTTCTTGTCCCTTTTCTGCTTATTTGGCTATTGATTTTCTTTTACTTGTATTACAACTTAAATTATAGTGGCAAAACAGCTGGTTTAAAAAATGAGATATTAATTCTTGAGTCATAAATTTAACAACAGAATCAGACAAAAGGCACACGAAAGCACAAAAACAGCTTCATAGAGTCCTGATAAAGCATGACACAGCAAATTGAACATTAAAAGACAGACAGATGTGTTATTAAACAATTATACCTTTAAAGTAGTGAAGAAAAACTCCCCAGGAGCTAGCTGAAGAAATCTCACACCCTGTGATTTTACAGGATCTTCAAGAACGATTATCAGTTCTTTTGAAAATGCAAAACATCCTAAAATGGCTGCCCCAACCGCTAGAACAGATACAAAGATTCTCTGTCGCAGCTCTTCAAGATGATCAAATATGCTCATTTCTTTATCATCAGGAAGTTGTTCTTTAGTAGGGTAAAGAAAATCATATAGAGCACTTCCATCACCATCTTGTCTAGAATTCTCCGGAGTTTCTTCTAGTGTATTATCCCCCAGTTCTGTGTTGTGTAACAAAAAATTGATGTCAGGAACCTAACTTTTTTCTTCCCCCATAGTCAATTCGGGGTCTTAACTTTATTTATTGCACTCGCAGCTCTGATCTGCACAATACTCAGATTGGACTTGAAATGAATTGCACCATAAGTTGGCATCATTAGAACAACACTTTAGTTTGCTTACACTTTCGTAAAAGAAGCAATCCAAGCTTACTTTAGATTAAATAATATCCACACAAAGGATATGCCACATAATATAGCTTAAACACCGTATACTTTCATATCTCATCACTCTTTTCTGAACATGGAGAATCATCAACAGACATGTAAAACATCAAACAAATATTTGGATGTTGGAAAATTGAAATTGGCCGGTAGAGAGAAAGCCCTTGATGAATATATGTTAAAATAAAATTCATACAAAGATAAGCCAAAACAACTCCATTTAAATCATCCAGTATGCACTTATTCGTGCTTCTACAATAAAAAGGTTATGAACAGTGTTTTTAGGTAACTTCAAAGCCTTTCATGTCATAAGTAATTGGTGTTTGAAAACCAGAAAGCTGGCATAAATTGCCAGAACCTTAAAATCCGCCCCTAAAAGAATATTACAGGACTAAAACTTGTGACAGGCCACTAAACCCACATTACAACTTCCCTCTCAGAGTGAGATTACTCACTAGCCTGGCTAATAAAAAAAAAAAAAAAACACTGTGTGTGCTTGTGTAGTCTTTCTGCCATGTCTTCGTTCATAGCATCCCAATTTCCCAGAGAAATCCAGAATAATCAGTTAAATTAACGTTAATAATGTAGAAAAAGAACATATAACAAGATTAATTAATATCGGCTTCTATTTTTAATTCGACTCAACTTGTTTCAAGTGATATACTGCCACAGCAAGTTGCCATTTGTTATTTACAGGAAAGAGAGGGAAAAAATGCAAAGCCTTCTCTCGAGAAACCTGACTAAATAATGATACACATGGCCAGCATGTTCAGCCACACTTCAGGACCCCCACAGTTTAAAAACACGCCGTATCATTTCATATGCAAATCCGAACTTAAATGCAACACAATATTTCTAATTATAGCAAGATCCTATAACTTATCATGTTGTAGTGTCTATAAGGTGCCTATTTCTATAGTTGTGTCAATGCTTCTCAGTTGGGAAAATAACAGACAACTGCCAAGATAAGACCATACTTCAATCACATTCCCATGGGTTTTTCTGCATTTCGAAACGCCCCCAAACCAACCAAGCAGCTAATTCAGAAAAGTTCCCAATCTCTTTGAATCATTTGGCGAAAATTCTTAAATATTCCATAAAAAATGAAGAAAATGAATTTCATAATTCAATTTGGCTCTTACCCGGCCTATCTTCAATGGCTGACCCAACCCCACTCCCACTCAACTCCTGCCGGTTCTCCCTCAACTCATCATCCACAGCAAAAGAGACAACTCTGCCAAACCTCTTACTCCTCTGCGAAACACCGAACCTCAAACTGGGACTCCCCGCGGAGTTGCAGAGACGCGGAGCAGACAAGCGGGTCCGGATCGGGCCAAGTGGCCTGAAACAACAACTGTGGAGCTCCAAATGAGGAATGATATTCGTAGCAAAGCTGGTGCAGCCCATGGTGCCGATGGCGAAGGCTATCGTCTTTGATCGTTGAAACGGTTGGCTGTAATTGGATACGATTTGCGTCTCCAGAGTCCAGCCGCCTCGTCCGGCTCATGCGGACAAAAGATTCTTTTTTAATTACGTCCATTCTTAAAAAAGCTTAATTTTAATGACAAAAATTACCGGGAAATGATTTATGATTTTATCACTTAAAAATATCTGAAATCTGTTTAGTGTTTAGTATGAATGAGAACGAAATGACCACAATACCCTTATACAGAAATTTTGTTAAAAAAAAAAAAGAAGAAGAAAAAGAAAGAAAAGATTGAAGAAGAACTGGAACTGGAACCAGAACGGAGGCGCCACGACCAAGGGAGCTAGAAGGGAAGGCGTGGCAGTTCCGGCGAGAGTCAGTGGTTACGGCAATGGCATCACTCATCGGCATGCTACCCCAATCTTCCTCCCAGAATACATCAATATGAGGATTTATACGCTTTAAGTTTATTTAGTCATTCATTAGTACGAGGTCTCCTAGTTCGTTCTTTTTTTGTCACTGTTTCTGGCTTTTTATTTTGGGTTCTTCGCCTTCTGTTTTGGCCTTTTTTATTTTATTTTTTCTCCAACTTACGGGCTTCTTAATTGGGTCATAGGCTAAGCCCATTTTAAGAGTTTTTTTTAGGGCTAATACCACCTTCTTGTTTTCAAGCCGGAAAGTTGATTTTATTTCGATTGACCCCTAAATTGGATACCAGTTGTTTTAGTCCCTAAATTTAATTTCATTTAGTTTTGCCTAAAGATTTTTAATTCCTACAATAGTGATTTTCTTGTTTCACGAACCAAAATCAAAATCAAATTAAATTTCATAGATTAAAAATGGTATTAACCCCTTATTTGTGTATCATTTTATCCTTTTTGATAATATACTATGGCTTTACATAAAACAAAAGGAGTATGCAAGTGTTTGGTTTTTTTTTTTAAACGAATGATGACATAACTTCTACAAAAATCGGATTTTTGTAGTTTTTATTGGGTTTCATGGAGAAGCAAATAATTACAACGTAAAAATGAACACAAAATCATTCTGAGAGTCCACAAACAACGTAAGTACATCAAATTCATTCTAACTCTATACGTAAGTATGTACGGACTAGATTAACTCGGATATATAATTAATCTCCCAACATAACCATTTTGATTTGCAGCTCCACAGGAATGATTTGGACATAAATTACCAAGACAATGATTAAGGATGTCAAATACGTCAGATGGATGCGGCTGAGGTATCGTACAATATATCTTTTACCACGTCATCATCAACATCTTTATCTGATAAGCTTCATCATTAACAACTATTTAATCATCATAATTATTACATCTGCATTTGATTGATTACTTCATGGCATGGTACCGCGTCGTAGATCAAATTAGGACATTAGGTGAAACTTTGTTGAAATTCACAACTTCTAAAAATAGAAAGTATATAATAAATAACATAACGACAGTACAAGACCAAAGATTAACTAAATTAAATGCATGATCCAATACGTAAATAAAATGCTGGCTTTTTTCTTTCAGTGAAAAGCTAAACACATCTAGTACTTCAAAACCTTCTGGCCCGAGAATAAGAAACATATTACACTTTTTGCACACTTCCTCTCCATTTCAACCATTTGTTGAACTTCATGGCATGAACAAACTGAAGCTCTGTAATTTCAATAAAAACTAACAAAAATTACAAGTGAATGTTTCAAAATGATTCATTCTAAGGCATCCCAATTGAAAAGACCTGACCTTTCTTCCTCTACCAGCTGTAATAACTACTATTTTCCCTGGACTCGCAGATATCACTGCCAATATACTGAGATCCACTACCCTAGCTAGGAGAATGATGATCATTTACAATTATATGAAGCTGATAATATTTACAACATGCATGGATGCTATGCATGGACAATAATCACCATAAAAATAAGGGAAGGAATCAAAGAATCATATGCCGCCATAATCGTAAATTTATTGCCTCTTTTTTGGGCCGTGAGTTCGGTGCAAGTGCCACGACCATACAAGCAGGCATGATACAAGGACAACTCCAATAGATGACCAGAACATTACCAGCCATGAAGGCATTGGTTTAGGATACAAACCTGGGCAAAACACACAGGAACAAATTTTCTGTGAATGAATAACTGTGTGAATGAATAAATACACAAGTGAAAGATTTTACAGTTACACCTACCATGTCCAAACTTGATACAAATTAGTAGTTCAACAATGCAAATGGCAAGTGAAAGCCAACAAAAAGCTCCAACCTTTTTCACTGGCTTCCTGGAAAATTCACAATGAACACATATGGATGAAATATTAAAACCAAACAATGACACTATCATTTAGGAACAAGAAAGAGAGAGAGTGTCGTGTGTACCTGTCTTGAAGGTAGGAATTGTATTCGCGAATCGTTGGAATTGCGATTAACCACCACAAAATCAACCGATAAATGATGACAGGATTTCGAGGTGGGATCCAGAGACAAAACTTGAGAAAGAATGTGTTCAGCTCTACAGTCAAAAAGACAATACAAAGACTAATCACTTGAACAAAACGCCAAGGACCAAGCAATGGATGCCACTCATCTTTGTCCCAATGTGCCGGAGTAAATTGTCCTAATGTTCGTTTTACCTGATAAAATTGAAACAAATGGAGTATTAGGATCGAATTCAGTCTCTCTATCTATTAAAAAACATCATTAATACCTCAATGAGAAATGAAGCACTAGCTATTATGACATTTTTAAGTCCTTGAAATCAATAAATGTACAAGTTAATCTTTGAAACTAACAATGTCTTACAAATGAGTCCCTCTAGCATCCTTCAGTCACTTGACTAAAATACTTATTTTGCAATGAGTGAGTTATTATCAAAGGCTAGTTACTTTGCAACTTACTTTGCCCTCATTAACTTTTAAGACTAAAGTTAATTAGGACGTTAAATAGTTAATTTACTCAAATATATGTTTGTTGATTTGATTGAGCATAATGTCAAACGTACTTTTCCCATAATATTAGGTTGACGGCTCAGACCAACCCACTTGTACGTTTTCCCATCAAAATACCTAACAGTATGCATTCCTGCCCATATACCTGCATGATAAGCCAAGTAAATGAATATGTTACGATTAGGCTTAATTGAGGATTAAAAATGACCCTCATATCTCTACATTTTAAAGGTATTAAACGGGAATAGAAGCTATTAAGTAATGACTCCAACGGCCCGTTAGACATTACCAAAAAATATATATAATTAAATGAAACGACACAATTAGAGCCACAGTATTTTAAGGCTGACAAAAATGAGCTTACATACATTAAATCAATCGAACATGAAGAGATTATAAATTCATGTCCCCAAACCCAAAAATCAAAGGTACAATTATTATTATTATTATTATTGTCATTGTATCAGGACAATATATAAACAAGCGATCAAATAAATATAAAGATGTGTGTGACAGGGAAGTACTGCTATTATTTTCAAACCTTGAAAAGACAAAAACAGATGTAGAAAGAGGAACCGAAATCAAAGCTCAGTGTCATAGAAGGCACATGAAATTAGCGTGGAGTTCGACATCATACAAGATGCAAATACATCATAAACCATAGTTCTGAAAATTTAACTGCCTCAAAACTGTTTGGTAGACCCCTCCACAAACTCCAACAATAATTCTTTCCATAAAGGGCTAGTTCTCATTTTTATAATCATAAACTAAATTCAAAAAATATTAAGAAAATATCAATGACTTTGAATATGTAATCTTTGGTAGGGTAATACATGTTTTAGCGAGAAAAAGGTTCATGCTTAAATTTACTTTACATGGTATGTGCTACCTAACCAACAAACAGGAAAGGTTCAGAACTCTTACCAAACCAGTTGCAGATCAAAACGTCGAGAATAATACTGTCCCACCAGCATTCGTTGAAGTTTGGTAACATGTGGCGAAAAGTAAGCTGCTAAGGCAAACATAAAGTTCATAAGCAAACAATATTGTATAATTTAGAAAGTATCATGCTTTAACAATCCCAATCCAGCCCTTCCCCTCGCAAAAAAATGTATAGACTATGTGAGATCAATTAAGAAACCTCATGGTAAAATCAGATCAAGGGCTAACCTCCATCAATTCAAAGCCAATTGATAACACCCAAAGAAGAGGCTGGTTACGGATCAATATAGCCTTTCCCCACCAGCCAATTATATGAGCAAGAACAAATTCATCAAAAAGTGTATCCTAGAAAACAGAGAACAAATCAGGTGCATAAGGAACCCATATGAGATACGATCAAGCATAGAACAAGACAACACTAGCAGGTGACAATAAAAGTTTGTGAAAGAAGAAATCATACATAAAGATTCTTAAACCTGCTCGTAGGGTTTTCTGGCACATATATGCGACAATCAGCACCATAAGACCTTTCTGGAAGTTCTGCATAAAGTCAGGAAAAATAATTATGCATATTCTAACAATGATTCATTCCGATAAACAAATCTCTTAAAAGAAAATGAAACAAAATTTAAGAATCAACTAACTACTTCCTATCCAATTCAAAACTAAAAAGAAAAGAAGCAGATTCATTACCCACACCAAGATCAGGATGAAGAAATTTCATAAACTGTCGAGCATCATCACGTTTCTGTGGGAAAAAAAATAATCATTCTGTTACAGGTAAAAGAACGGAAAACAGATATTGTCCATAAATTGTGCAAGAGACAGACATAGACAGAGTGGGAAGGAGTCAACAGACATAAACATAAAAAAGTACACAAATCTAAAGTGCAAAGGTGTGCTGTGATGTAATCTACGTAAAAATTATCTAAGACGTATAAATGAATGCCCTTTAAACTCTACATGCATGTATCACACTTTTTACACACAACTTTAACAGAAAATAAGGATATATGATATATCTAGACACAACAATTGACCTGGAAAAGCAAAAATGTGAGGGCCACAAGGTAAACAACAGCCATGCCATGGACCAGTCGCCAAAGTGCAGGATGCGGTCTAATAAGAATCCTGAATGAAAACAGATAACAATGAATGTCACAGATAGTGGTCTCAGCAGATAAATCTACCACAAAACTTAAGCTGGTCCAAAAGAATCACTCAGTCCTACTACTGAAACATCATTCCTACTCCTAAAGACCCACTAGAAAATCCATACTCTTTTTTATCTAAGTTGCTTAAACTAACAGGATAACTTCGAATGGGATCATATTACAGATTTGAAGTTAGAACATAACCAAAAGGATTGATTTCTGTTTAAAATTCCACCCCCAGCCTAGAGCCCCCCCTCCTAAATGAAAAATAAACAGATTTTTCCAATAAATGTTCTTTTTAATCAGCTTACTACGACTATTTCACACTCCTCCCCGAAGATATAGTTAAGAGCCACCTCAAAACTTGCCAATCCAGGCTTTACAGGAAGAGTAAGAACATATTCAAAAGATAAAGATCTACCAGCAGAAATGAAAGATTCAAACTTGATACAACAAAGTTGCTTTAATTACTCACGTGGAGGGAGCTTGAAGCAGGCAGTAAGCAAGAAAAACAGCAATCATTGCCCATACACCCCTACAGAGAAAATTAATCGGGAATTTAACACACTGTACAAACAGTGCACTGTTCAACATGAGACGGCATGTAAGTAATGAGGATCTGAGCAATATAATAACTAAAAGGGAAAAACCTTTTAACAGAGGTAACAAGATCACCAGATGCATCTCTTTCTGGATCGAGTGCACCACTTGCCCATCTGGCATCATATACATCAAAACTAGAAATTAAAAAAGAAGACAAGCTTAATAACTTTACTTGAGATAACATAGTTGAAATGGTCAGGGTGCACCAGAGTGCTTATTTAGCATCAATCTATCTAGCAGAGCACTCACATTAGAAGACAAGCGCCAATCATTAACAATGTCACAGTGCGAGGCTTGTAAGCCCATGCAGTCCACGGATCAAATTCTTCATCAGCATTTGACAGATCATGGAAAACACCATTTTCTTTATCAAGGTAGTCATTTCTCTTAACCCTTTTCTGACTGCTGAACTCCATAATTTGGTGTCCAGAAAAGCTTCCTCACAGTTCCTGAAGTCACAAAAGTAAGATTATTTCCTGATGCTATAACAAAGATATGATCATGAAGAAGCCACTCCTCGAAAGTTCAATGAAGAACAAATAGTGAGAAAAATTCTCATTTTTGAAAAACATAAACTATCATATTTACCAACAATGAACATTACATGAGAGCACAGCAAATGAGCAAATATCCACTGAAGCATACAACATAGGCAGCACTAGTAGACAAGGCTCTTACCATACTACCCATGTGTAATTGCATCTCAGTAACAGGATTTATGCACTACAGTCATATCAGAAAAATATTGAGCGACGAACGAGAGATGTATAGACCCATATGGATGCACGATACCATGTTCAAAATAAAAACTACAATTGTATGAGGGAGAAAAGTCCCAGTAAAAATAAAGCCTGTTGCGAGTTTCAAAACAATTTTTATACTAATTTTTGTTTTGCACAAATTTGATTTATTGTAAAACATACGATGCAACAAAAGTTTCCTTTATTGTAAAATAAAAGTTCCTTCAGGAAATTAAACAAACTTAAAGTTCGAAGTTAAAGGCCAAGCTAGACAGAAACATAAAACCAACGAATTGAGGCATGACAATCCGCTTTGGCCCAGGAAAAAAATTATTAAAAAACCGAAAATTTGGAGCCTAAGTAGAATCTAATAAGCAACTTAATCATAAATAACCGACCTAAAGACCATAGCGGATAAAAAATTCTATGATAAATAGAAGTGCACCGCAATATAATTCAGACAACACCCGCAGATGCACATTAAAAAGAAGAACAAATGAGCCATCCCTTTGACTAGCCTTTGGTTAAGCACTTAGCAAATGGATAGACACAGAAAGAACTCACAATAGAAGCTATTTTGAAGTCTTTCTCGATCAACGGATTTGAAAACCAAAAAAAAAAAAAAAAAAAAAGATCAAGCCAATTGGCCAATGATGATTTCAATGTCATGATAGATTTCTAATCTTGCAACCACAGCATCAACAACAGAGAACCCATCACCATAATACACAATTCAACACTGAACCACCGGTTGTAACAAAAATTCACTGAACCTTAAATCCCATAAAAAAAAAGAGAGAGACAACTGTTCGAGGGAGAAATTTATCTTGAATAGGAGCGTAATTAGTAAGTAGAGAAACGGGATTAAACCAGAACAGGAAAAATAATGAAAAGACACGTACACTGAATATTATGAGGAGAAGAATCGAAAACTGGAACGAAGCCCAATCCAAAAAAGAAAATGCAGACACAAAAGAGATAGAGACGGGGAGAGAGAGAGTATAAGGGCGGGCGATAGTGGTATTATGGATACGGAAATGATTTATTTGAAGAAAAAAGCGGGTTTTAAAGTCGTGCGTAGTTTTGATGCTGTTTTGCTTTCAGAGACGGAATACTTACGTAGAGGAGTGTGGAGAGGCCAGCAGAGAAAGGACTCCTGGCCGTACGATTGGTAGAGCGAGAAGATCGAAGCCGTCAGATCAAAATGGAAGAGAAGAGAGGCGGCAGAAGAAGAAGCAGCAAAAGCGAATAATATAATCAAAGAAAGCAAGTGATTCTGTTTATCTCTCCCACTGATAATTAACAGCAATACAGAAGCACCAATCTTTCTGCAGTGAGAGATTTGTAATGTTGGGTCTATGCGTGTGGGAGGTGAGAGAGAAAGAGAGTGTGTGTTGGTCTCTCTCTGTGTTGTGTGTGTGTTTTTGGTGTCGTTCGCAGCAGAGTCTGCTGCAACAGCGGCGAAAAGGCAAAGAGTGATGATGATGATGATGAGAGAAATTGAAAAGGAGAGAGAGAGAGAAAGGGAGGGGGGAGAGAAGAGAGTACGATGGTCAAAGAGAGATTTGAAGATGGTATTGGATACGCACGATGAAGAAAACAAGAAAATGTCGAAAGGTGGGGTGATTTAAAGGGGAAGCGGGGGGAGAGAGAGAGTCGGGGAAGCCAAGCCAAGGACGGGACCGGGGACGGGACGGAAGAATTAATGTTTTGTGCCAAAAGTACCCCTCCCATTCTTCATTAATTGCAGCATATTCCTCCTGCCAGCATCCGAAATTACCATCATACCCTCGCTTCATATTACTCATCCTTTTGCCACCAAGACATTTTTTTAGGGGAAAAACATTAGGCCGATGAGCGTGACACTGCGTGTCCAGATGTAATTTAAGAATGAGTTGTGTTATTCTTAATTTGAGTAGATTAAATTTTATTAATTAAATTAGTTATTTGTAATAAATAAATATTATCTTTTATAATATACTATTACTAATTATATATATTAATTAGAACTATTATTTGATAAAAATTTTAATATGTACAACCATTACAGGAACTATTTTAAAAATAAATAAATAAAGAGACTAAGTAAATATAAATCTTATATTTAGAATTAAATGAAATTGAATTTCAAATTAGTTTTTATATTAAAAATAAAAACAAAGATTGTACTTTTTTTTTAATTAAACCATACAAAGACAGCCACAAAAAAAAACGTTCTGCATTAATACTCTACTTGTCAAAATCCTATTCGTTTTTATTGATGTTTGTAAAAATTATTTTTATCTCAGCTAGCTGTTATAAAGGAAAATTTGCGTAAAAGTTATTAATGTAATATGGCTTATGATTGAATAGATTTTTATAAAAACAAAAAAAGAGAAAGTAAGTTGAATAAGCTAATTAGTGCTCCTCCAATCTTTAATACAGAACCTAACTGTTGAGTTAATTTTGATCATAAATATAAGACATATTTATCATATTTATCAATTTTCTTAATTATCCCTATAAATACTTCTCAACTATAATCAAGTAGAGGAGGGAAAGGGAGTATTAAGAAATATGATTATGGTGTTTTAAGAAAAACTTGTCACATTTGTTTAAATTAACTAACTTACCTAACTTTCTTAATATAATCAAATTAGTTAAATGAATCTTATATTAAGAACCGAAAATGTATATTTATTGGCCTTATAATAAATATAAATTAAAGAGCAGCAATGTTTCAATTGTTTGCCAGAGATTCTCTAATGTTTTTATAAATATCAAATTATGTACTGGCAACTAAACCAACAACATTCTCCTTTCTAATCATATTAACTAATATTAATTAATTGGAGATTGTTGAAATAATAATGTTTGTTTTGAGAAGACATGCCTTGATTCCTCAACAGGGCATGAAGGACGCAAAGGTTGTTATTTGTCATCTCAAACAGCCCCTGTGAGGATATAATTAGGTTATCGATGCTACTCTTTCCCAGTTTCTCCAACATATTTTTGTTTTAAATTTTTTCTGCACCTTCGCATTTAGGCACATTTTTTTAAGAGAATTATTATAAAATATCAAGAAAAAATAATTTTTAAAAAATTTCACAACAACAACTTGTAATGACAATTTTCAATTCAAAAAATAACAAATATTTAATTTTTGTTATTTTTTTTTTTTAGAATCTCACTGTCATTGTCCTTTAGGTATATATTGATTTGTATCTTCTATTGAACTATTCAAAATAAGATTTCAATAGTCCGATTTTATTACGATTTTATTTTATATGCTTTGCCTTATTTAAGATAAAAAAAAGTCAAATAATTAAAAAAAAAGAACTATTGATCATCCAAATGAGAAAAAAGTGCAAATATGTGCCACAATAATCTAATTAATTTTGTTATTTTTATGTGATATGACGTTTTTATCTGCTTTGTTTTCCATTTTGTAAGGAGGATTGGAATCATAATCACTATTCAAACTATAGTTGTATTTTCTTCTTATTATCTAAATTAGTCCACCCTATTTTTTTTTTATAATTTTAATTTTTAAGGTATTAAAACAAGGTTTAATGCCTGATGTCATTAGAAAGCACGATATTGGTTGGCTGAGTTATCACAATGGATGTGCTAAAGAATATCCCTTTGACACAATATTTATGTCATTCATAAATTCTACCTCAATCTGAAATTTTTTAAATATATATATCTGTCATTATATTAATATTATAAAAATGTATCTGTTTATTAAAAAACTGAAACGAGCTCTAGTGGTAAAGGTGAGATAGAAGCCCCCGGTCACCGGTAAGGATGCAAACCTCAGACCCTTTTGATCTGTAAAAGGATAATGATAAAAATAAATATAAGTGTTTGCTTTATTTTCAAAAGTAATTTTTAATTTTTTAATTGAAAAGCATGTGTGGGATTTTATCTTGGTAATATGTAGATTCCTTGCATTATGAAGATACTTTGGTAAGTAAGAATAATGGTGCTCCACGTTTACTTTTATGATAGACATAAATTATCTCAATTATATAATAAATTCAAATTATTTGAAAAATAAAAAACGAACCATACAAAGAAAATAATTGAAGAATAGGTATTATTTTGTATATCCATAAATTTATACCATGAATATGGGACAGTTCATTACTTTTTAAAAGGTCAACGTACATATTTGCTAAGAAAGTTTTTACTTAAGGGTATCAGGCACACGAAAAATTTTTTTAAGAGTAAATTTGACATAAAAGTTTAAAATTATCATAGCAATATTTTTCTCATCATTAAAAATATTAATAGTCACTATCATTATTTTAATAATCAATATTAATTTTTTTTAATGGTACAGAGTGATATTGTTGTGATTTTAAACTTTCGAAACAAATTTATACCAAAGTCCAAAACAAGCTTTTGAATACCCAACACTATAAGTTAAAACTTTTTGAACAAATTTTTGCCTTAGCTTTTTTTTTTTAAAGATAATACCAATAATCTCTTAACAGTAACAACAATAATAATTGCATCCACCTTGCTGTCCAAATAACGAGGATCTCAATTCCCGCTTAATGTTGGCCTTTCCTGAGTTGGGAAATATTTATATATATGTGATTTCTTAATTTAGGGATTTAAATGAGGATATAGGTCCATCTTTTAAAGATCGGGACTCCATCACCATTAAATTATCTGGGTCTAATTCGTGTTGATGAAAACAAATTATAGCACTTCTCTCAATTTATAGAACAAAATAACATCATTTTATTATTGCATAAAGCTTAAGATAATTCACAGGTCTGTTTTTTATATTAACTTTGACAAATTGTATTATTCATATTTCATGAATTATATTATTCTTTTTCATCATTCTTCTGCCTCCATTTATTACACGTGGAATGAATGGAGGATGTAAAATAAATAAATAAATTACCGCAGCTTCCGAATGGGTAAATGTCAAATGTCACAACCTTATCCTTTGTAAATGGATGTAGCTTTCCTTGTCCTCTCTTTTTGAGAAGAAAATTTTTTTTAAAAAAAAAACTTGCATATATTGATGTTTTTTTCTGCCAGCGAATATATATGCTATTCGACACCTTATTATAATTAAATTAAATGTTTTAGCCGGAGCTATCATTCATCACCCTTTTTTTTTCCTAATTAACATATTTCAATAATTAATTTACATTATTTTGTAATTATAAATAGCATGACTTATACATTAAGCCAAGAGTCAATACACATCTATCCATCTATTTAAAACTTTTTTTAAAAAAAAAACTCAACAGGGGATTAACCGCTGTTATAAAATTAAATTAAATTTTTGAGACATAGCTGTCATTTATCCTATTCTTTTTAATTAACACATCACATGTGTCGGTAACTAATTTGCATTATTCATAAATTATAAATGGTATGACTTGCATGTTAGCCAACTTTACTTTTCCACACAATAACTTTGCTTTTTTAATGAAAGAGATGTGATCTTCATCTTCTTATGACCATGAAATTAGTTAAGGTTTTATTTATAGCTATTCTAATGAATTTTTTCTCAAAATAAAAACAATGGAATTTTTTTTTACAAATAACTAATTTTTTTTAATCTCTACAAATTAATCATCTATTTTCTATCTTTAAAATCCAAAGGGATACTCTTTATCTAATGATGAGCTGATGAGCCTAATATTACAATCAAGAGACGCATGAGAGGGCAGGATAATCAAGGTATGCTTTAGGAAATCTTTTTTTATTAAGGGTTTTTTTTAAAAAAAAATTCTCCTTATTAATTATACATGTTAGGAGAATTTTCATTAACAAACTAATTTTTCATGCAAATGATTAAAATGTGTGCTCTAGGAAAACGAACAAATATGTAATTTTTTATAAATAACTAATTTGACCAATTTTATTAATTTTTACTAATTGGTTACCCAATTTTTATATTGACAATAAGAGTTTTTTTTTTAGAATTGCTATAAAGTCCTAAGTAAGAGATATAATTATTCAAAAGTTTCAATAATAAAAGAGCAGTTTATAATGATAAGTTTTAAGATAGTAGATCGTAAATGACAACTGTCTTTTTATCACCGAGACTTATTAGTAATTATTATTATTTTTTCCTGGACACTTCAATGTGATTCTCCCGATTCTTTTAATATAATAATCAAAGTGATATTAATAAAGCGTTGCATTTAGAATAAGTGAACGAGATTAACATGACAGCCAGGAGGCGTAGGAGAGAGAAGGAAAATCAAGATGATAATGATGTGTGTGGGTATGTAATAAAGAGAGATTAGGGGATGATTTAACTTGTGATTAGACGTAACAAAGTGAGGATTGGAGGAAATGACAGGGGGAAGGCATTGACCTTCCAAAAGAGATCGGTGAAATGGGGTGCCCTCCCATGAAAGGGGTGGCTTTCACGTGCCCTCGCCCACGTCCTCTACGCTCTCCCCACCTCCCTCCATGTGACTCCCACCCTTTTTTTTTGGTTTCTATCTCTTTGCCGTCTTCTTGGGATTCCTCCCCCCTCAATTTCCCATCACCATCTTGTCATCTTCACCCTGCCTCACTTTTTTTTCACTCTTCGTTAAAAAAAAAAAAAAAAAA